TAAAGCATTTGTTTATTTATGTAATGGTACCGAGTTCTTAAAAAGGTTGGATTAAAAAAAAAAATCTGAATTGGTTATCACGTCCTGCAAGGTGAACGTAACCCAAGTCATGTTATCGCTAAGCTATGTGACAACGTCCTTTCTTTTTTACCTGCATTATGCATTTGCTTGGCTTTCTAGGAAAAGAAATAAACTGTCAAGCCATAATGTACGGTATAGGCTAAGTGTATAGGTATGTTTTACCATGGGAGATCAGAATCATCTGGTTTTATAGTTCTAAAAATACACTACAGTGTTTCATTTATTTATCCAAGGGAGCGTGACGCACTCACTGTAGGGTCTCATGCAGATGTAGTCCCCCAGGCGAGGGACCTGGAAAGAGAAAACGCATCCTCTTCCTCTTGTTGACCATCTATCGGTCACCAGGTCCCTCAGGATGTGCTTCAGATAGGCGGTAAATAAGCAGCATTTCATCGGTGGAGACTTTTGGTCAGGACAGTGAAAAGTAAATCGGACAACAGAGCTGCACAATTACAAAAATGTGTTTGTTTTAGCAGCGTGACAAATTTGTTCAGTAATTAAGGCGCTTATTTACTGTGCGTTGGTCGATGGTTGAAAGCATTCGTGTAGCGAGGAAAAATGATACACTTGCACTAAGCAGAGAGCTATTCTCAACAGTGCCTCATTTATAGACATTTGAAGTTACAGTCATTTTGTCAGCCAGAGTGATTTCCCTTATGCATTCCCTTAATTGAGTCGCAGTACAATCTGTTCGAATAGTATAATTTGTGTGTAAAGTCTGCAAAGAAATGCTCTTCCCATGACCCTAATCGTCTTTTCTGCCTTTAAGTGCTCACACCGGTCGCAGTGGTCCCCGATCCTGCGGTGTATGGAGAAAATACAACAAAAATCAATAGCGCACCATCCTCAATCCCCTCCCCAATTGTACAAGCGTAACGTGTAGTGCGTGTCAAGAATTCCACTGTCGGTCTTATTATTTGGCCTTTGCTCTTTGTCCCAAGCCTCCAGCCGGGAAGTAGCATAGCAAGGGAGCAGCAAGGCATCATTGGTTAAGTCTTCACAGATAATGATTACAAGGAATCAATCTTACCTGTCCTATTTTCCACACGGTTGAATTCACAGGCCCAACAACAAGTCCTCAATGAAGTATTTTCAGCTAAGGCCTTCACATACATTAAATATACAGTGGGTGTCAAAAGTCGATAAACACCTGTTCAAATCCCCTTTTTAAGATAAAAAAAAATGAACCAAAACAAGTCACTTCAAGGCTTTTTTCCACTACAGTTTCGAAAAGATTACTGTAGTCTCTGTCCCATTTTATTATATCACAAAAGCCCCGCATTTGAATAGGGTGTGTTGACTTTTTATAGCCACTGAAGCTAAAATAATTTTTACAGTTTTCCCAAATGTAAAAAGCCACAGTAAGATTTGATCACGCAAACAACAGTTTCCTGCGTAGTCAGAACTTGATGTTCCGCGTTGCCATTGATCACCGCTGTGTTCCAAAAATGATTCAAAACACGTGAAAGATGATGTTGAACCGGGCGACGCGTTCTGTCAGGACAACAAACAAGGGCACTCCAATTTATTTTTGGTTCATCCCACCAAAACCTTTGTGCTGCTATTAATATACCGTTCATATTAATCAGATGCTGAAAAATAGTCAAAAGCAACCTTTAACAACCCCGTCTAAGCCATTTTTGATTAAAAAAAAAAAATCTATGCAAAACTGGAATGGTGTTTTTGCCGGGAAGCCGGGAACCCCATCAAAATGGTCGGAAATGCATACACACAAAACAAATCTACGACTAATTAGCGGATATAATGAAAGTCCACTTAAATTATTCATGTAGCCTAAATGAGGCGCTGACTGCGGTGCTTCAATTATAGCCGGACAAGCATTGCTGCCGGGCCTAAGTCTATCACTGGATATGATGCTTTTGCATTTATGGTGTATTTCATTGACCATTTTTACAGAAGACAGACTGGGTGCTGTAATCATCACATCGTATCACTGAAATACTACCTGTCACGACATTCCTTGTAAAGTAACAAAACAAAGCTCAAGGATCATGATTGAGATTCTTGAACTTTGTATTACAGTGCAATATGTATTCCTTTTGTGATTCACGTCGGATTGCTTTTTTTTTTCAACCGGTCATTTCACCTTATTTTGCTTACTTGTCGAGCCATCAGTTTTACTCGAATAAAAGGTTCGCCCCCACCACCCCACCCTGCATCTCAAAAGAACAGGAATAGGAAAGTGTTATCTGCTAATGCATTTCCTTCTTGCTCTTTTTCCCTCAAATTTATTTTAAGATGGGATTCATTTTAAGTCAATTCTATAGAAGAGCGAAGTTGAACTGCGATTGGACTGCATGAAACAACATGACATGATGGGGGGCTGGGGGAGAGGGGGAGCAGACTCCCTTGGTTTTGATCAGGACCTCAATGCATGCATGCATAGATATGACCTATCTTTATTAGAAACATTTATTGCAAATGGCTCACAAAGCTCACATCCTGAAGTTTAAAAGTAAAAATGATTGACGCCTTTGCAGAGGACAAAGAGGTTGATTGGGTAAGATTTGAGTCTTTTATTAGACTGCAGTCTCCTCTTAAATAATGCTACTTGTCAGTTCATTTGAACTCAGAAGCGTCGCTTCCCTTTCTGTTGCGTCAAATTCTCCGACTTCCATTATTTAGAACAAAAGAAATAACGAATGGAGAATGGACCGACTGCATTACCGAGCCAGCTCCCCTTAATGCACTCTTTTTATTTTAGCTTGACAATTTCTGATGGCTTGCGTCTGTCATGTAGCACATCAGTATGCATTATGCAAGACATATTCTAAGCATGACGTTGGATACACAAGCTTCTGGGGCGGTCGGGGGTATTGATCATTGATGTTGAAATCACTGAAATGGATGTTGCTGCATATGCTCGAGCAAGGCACGTCAACAGTTGAGACAGATGCTGAAAAAGAAGATGGGATGGAGTTTGAAAAGAAGTCAGATGTCTCCTGCAAGAATATACTTTGCGCGCGCGTGTGTGTGTGTGTGTGTGTGTGAATCCTAGAAGTTGTGTTCCACAAAAAAAAAAAAAAAAAAAAAAGATCATAAAAAAAAAAGCTTACTGTCTCCACTTTTACTTTATTCAAAGTGGACTATCAGCGCAGCCCGCAAGGATGCTTTTTTTCTCTCAGGAAGAAGCCGTAGAACAATCTTGCCGGTTGAAAGTCTTGGAAGGGCATGCGAAATTATTGATGGCTCCAAACACTCTTGCTGAGGTACTAGCGATGGCAGCGAAACCCGCATTTAACATTTAAACAAAGGGGTAACATTCTAAACCATGGGTGGGCAATCCCAGTCCTGGAGGGCCGCTATCCTGCATGTTTTCCATCTGTCCCTTCTCCAACACACCTGATTCAAATGAGGTGCGTTGCAGGATAGCGGCCCTCCAGGACTGGGATTGCCCACCCCTGTTCTAAACCATAGAGACTATCAGTATCATATTTTGGACGAAATGTCTATAGGCTTTTCCTTTCGTCAAATCAAGCAACAGCCATTAGAATATGGTAGATGCCTAAATCAAATGCTTTACTGGTTTGCTTTTTATTATTTTTTTTCGATTTCTAAATCAATTCTCATTAGAGCAGGTTGACCTTCAAATATTCTTTCGGCTGTTAATCGATGACCCTGGCCTGTTGCATTGGAGCGGCACCCTGTCAAATGTTTAGCTCATGCCAAAAGTGTGGAAGTGAGCGGCGCAAGAGCAGAATAACAAAAATGCGGCATATGAAAGGTTAATGAGCAGTGAGAAGTGGAGCGGGATTTTGTTCTGTGAGCCTCTGGTTGATTGACGTGAATGGGAAAGATGGGAATATGGCAGCGGTGATGCAGTGTTCCCTCACTGATCGCGAGCGTTACGTTCCAAGGTGCACTCTGAATAGCCGAACAGCATTTGACCAACATTTTGAGTTTCCGAATAGTCTGAGTGAAGCAGCATGCTCAGAGTGAATGTCCGAATGCACCCAGGATGATGGAACGGGGATCTTGGGGGTTACGAGCTCGAGGGTGCATTCGCAATTACAGTATACTCGGAGCGTGCCCTGCTTCACCCGGACCGCTCCAGAAACTCAAATGCACCGTTCAGTTATTCAGACTGCCGGTGCGTGCTCTCGGCACTCCCAACTGGAAGGCACGGTGTGCCACTGTGTCAGGCAGTCCAGATGGAAACAGTTCAAGCACGAGCTGCTGATTGGTTGAGGGCATCGGCTGCGTTTAGAAATTAATGAGGGGGAAGAGCGTTCTCTGAACACACACACTCTCAGAGTGAATTTCTGAATCCGCTCTTAATGTTCATGGTATGGGTCTTTGAAAAACAGACGCCCCCCCCCCCCCCCCCGAAAACTTTTCTCAACGCGCTGAAAAGAC